TCATTTCAATAACCTCCTAATATTGCATTTTAGAATGGCAATTATGCAATCATATTTGCTCAACAGGATATTGCAAGAGATAAGATGAAGGTGTGGTTGCTATTATTACTGACTAGCATCACAATGTCTCTATTGTAGAAAGATATATTATTTGAGAACACTGCTGCCAGACTCTAGCTTACATGTTTTTTTATGGACAAAAGTGTGCATTTAAATTCAAATTACAGGAATTTTAAAACCCCCCCAAAAAAAATTTAAAAAGTACTGTCGAATAAGATCTGAGTCCAAAAATTGGCTGAAATGCCTTGTTCTTTGATCCTTGGATACACTCAAAGGATTCCTTGATACCACAGACAAGGGTTTCTGTCGATGATACTCAAGAGTATCATGAACCTTTCCCTGCAAAGTGGACATCTTGTGAAGAACAAGGAGGTATTGCAAAAATGAGTGGCCCTCAAAAGAACCAAAATATCAGGCTGGACCATGTCTATCTAACAAGACAATGACTGGGGCCAATTAGGGCAGCATGAGGGCTTTGGAAATAACAAGATTCCTGGGCCTGAAAAAGTGGAAGTATCCTTGAAGTGAAAACCTATCAGACATTTCTTCTCCGTGTGTTGGAGGGCAAGCTCAAATATAGGATCAATCTCGTTCGCAGACTAAATCAGATTTCCCTCGGTGTGAACATGGATTGAAAAAAGTGCATCCTGGCTTAAAGTTAATTCTGATTGGTGTAGATGCTAGCCATGCTCACATATGAAACCTGTAAATAGGACATCTTGTGAAGAACAAGGAAATATTGCAAAAACGAGTGGCCCTCAGAAGAGCCAAAATATCAGGCTGGACCATATCTATCTAACAAGACAATGACTGGGGCCAATTAGGGCAGCATGAGGGCTTTGGAAATAACAAGATTCCTGGGCCTGAAAAAGTGGAAGTATCCTTGAAGTGAAAACCTATCAGACATTTCTTCTCCGTGTGTTGGAGGGCAAGCTCAAATATAGGATCAATCTCGTTCGCAGACTAAATCAGATTTCCCTCGGTGTGAACATGGATTGAAAAAAGTGCATCCTGGCTTAAAGTTCATTCTGATTGGTGTAGATGCTAGCCATGCTCACATATGAAACCTGTAAATCACAGTAAAATGACCTTTTCTGCTAAAGTAACAAAATCTATTATTCACGCACGCCACGACGACTTTCAGGATTACAGATGTTACAACTTCTTAAAATTGAATATTTCTGGATCAGACATTTCTAGAATGGTTCGTGTTTACACATGACCTCTGAACGTAAAAATGCTGCTAAATTTACAGAAAGGGCAGTCATGATGTAATTTGTTAACATCAGTGAATGCATTAGCCAATATGAACAGACAATAAACAATTTATGAATCTTTGTTAGTGTTAGTTTATAAAAATTCTATTGCTCATTGCTCATGCTGGTTCACAGTGAATTGACTAATAACAAAACTGTTGATAAGGCAAGCTCAAATATAGGATCAATCTCGCTCGCAGACTAAATCAGATTTCCCTCGGTGTGAACATGGATTGAAAAAAGTGCATCCTGGCTTAAAGTTAATTCTGATTGGTGTAGATGCTAGCCATGCTCACATATGAAACCTGTAAATCACAGTAAAATGACCTTTTCTGCTAAAGTAACAAAATCTATTATTCACGCACGCCACGACGACTTTCAGGATTACAGATGTTACAACTTCTTAAAATTGAATATTTCTGGATCAGACATTT